CCGGAATATTCTAGATCTGTGTCAATCAGGGATTACCAGATAAAGCAATAGCGTCCCCTTATAGCTTCGCTGGGAGCTTTCTCTTTACATTCCTCAGTTAGGATGCTCTGAAGTCTTGGGAGTTCAACAGACCAGTGAAGATTTGTCACCTCCCTAATCAAGCAATTTGATTCCCAGCACAAAAGGCAACGGAAAACCGCCTGGAACGAAAAAGTGAAGTGGGTTCCAACTCCGCCAGCCGTGTCAGCAGACCCCACGCTGCTCTGCTTTTCACTCCATGCTCCCAAAATCAAAGTGCAAATCTCCAAATAAAGTGCAAATTGCCGCTACTTATTTTGTCGGACAGTTTGTTGTTCCCGTAGACATGGCGGGGGGGGGGGGAAAAAAACACAAATACCAGCCCATTTAGGCTGGAGAGAGCCACGCAGCCCGCGCTGAAGGCAATCTCTTCCCTTCCTCTCCAGCTGCAGTTCTTGCCTATTTGCATTAGATTAAGCAAAGAAAAGGCTCCTCGCAGGAGAAGTCACCTTGACCGCTGACGTCTGCCAGCCGCCGTCGGCAAAGCCAGAGCCTGCTAGGAGACACAAATCTCCAATTCCGATGCCTGACGCTTTCCAACGTTCCCATCATTTTTACCTATTGCAACGTGATCACTTTAATGAAACTTTAGCACTCCTCTCCACCCTTTTTTTTTTCCAGGAATACAGCTGGGTACCAGACATATATTCACCTATGAGGCAGGACGCCAAACACTCAGCTGTTCCAAGAAGTGCCATTTCCCTTCTCCCCAGGTGCACCTGCATTACCATTTTAATGTGAAACAGGAGTAGGTTTTTTGAAGCACATCTAGCAATCACTTCCACCTCGCTGTCCTGCAGTTCGCAGCACAAAGCAGGCTCGGACATGTGAATAGATGCCTTTCATCCACTAATGGATGTTCAAGCCACGGGACAAGAACACAGCTACCCCCAAGGGTAACGGCCAGGGTTATTGAGGGCTAATTACACCCTGCAAGCCCACCTTTAGTTAGCTGGTGGCACCGTGGTGGTCCTTCATGGGAATGAGCAGCACAGCCTCTGGCTCTCAAGCCAGGTAAAAAATATGGTGAAGATCATCCTAGACCATGACAACCACTTGGTCCAAGTTCCTGGGTGTCCAACCCCCATGAATTTTACCCACCAGTTCCTCACTACAACTCAGAAAAGTTGGAGCAAGTTTCTCTCCAATATAATAAATCATTTTTAAAGGCTTAGAAGTGTCACCCAACCATGTCTGGGTAACCTGTTGTAGGAATCAATTACCCTTATTTTTTTATATGTATATATATAAAGTCCTTATTTCCAGTCCATATTTCCAGGGAAAAGCCAAACACACTAATGATGCAGCAACCCAACTATGAGCTGCTCTTTTGCCCTGGATTAGAAGGACTAACAGCGAATTCTAAATATTGAAACCCTCCTAATAGGATTTCCAGATATTCAGCACAAAACCCCGCTACCTTGGGGGGAGCTGCAAGCTTCGCAGCCGCCCGCACAGCACGTAGCCCTAGCAGACTCACAAGATTTCACATATCCCATTACCTGTGGCTACCGTTTTGTATTAACATAGTGCAGCTCTGTCCAGTCTCGGGGATAATAAAAACGTAGCCACAGTACAAATTTACTCCAAGAGTAAATAAGATCTTTAAATAAGAGGTTATAATTGGTGTTAAAAATTGATCCCTTTCCCGCTCCCTAGGATCCATGCTCATCCAACATCGTTACTATCCTGCTCAAAAGGCAATACCAATAGTCGCCACCACATCCTTGCTGCCGCGGTGCTTACAGTTATCCCCACGTTTTTTCTTTCCAATGGCTTAAAGCAAGGGAAAGGGATTTGCATACAAGGAGAGTCATTATCGCAGTCAAAAAAGCATTCCTGTTGTAGACCTGCCATCCAAATGAAAAAAAGAGTGAAGCAAGTTTTCCTACAGCTACTGATGCTCAAGTCTAAGGCTGACTAATTTATAAACGCAACAAAGTGGAGAACGGTAGTGATAAGTGAACGAATGTTATCTTAAAGCCACAAGCTCCACCACTTGCATATATTACCAAATCACTACTGAGGAATCCAAGTTTTTGCAGTTGGAATTCTGATTAAAAAATCCAAAATATATCACGGTGGAAGAATTTATCAATAAAGTCCAGTCAACAGAATGCAAACGGAGCAAATGAACACAAATGCAGAAACCTTCATCACCAAATTTGATGTTTCATCTATTCAAGTCAACCTACGCTCACACGGCTACCAAAGGAAATGGGGTCTTCTCAGCTGGCACTCGGCCCTCACGTGACTCTGCGTTGTTGGGTGGGATCAGAGTCAGGTCACTGATCCCAAGCACAGCCAAGATTCCCTCTCCCACATGCAGTTCCCTATCGTCAGATGGAGCAAAGACAGCGGCAGGAACACGCGGCCCTGGCTGCAGTCCAACGCACAACTGCCTAAAAAAGACCTTTTGGAAAAGGACTTTCACCCCAGGTAGACAGAGGATTACCTCGGGACAGCAAAGAATTCTGTGGCCAAGGACAGGGATTTAATAAATGAAGAGCGGGCACTCGGCATGCTTTCCCGAGGGCCAGCCAGGAAGAAAGGACGTTGTACGTCAACGTGCGATGCCGCTGCAGTGCTTCGCAGGGAAGCGTTGAGATGTTTGCGCTCACCCTGAGCCTGCTGCACGCTCAGTTTTCTCCTGAACACCTTGCTGCACTCTCTCTGTGAAGGGTAACCCTCCATAATGTTCCAGACTCTTCATTAAGCTTTGCAAGGGTTGCAAACAAATCCCACCTGCAACAGTGGCGACGCAGGACGAAGAAGGACGAGCACCCACCACCCCACAGGACCTTCGGCAGTGCCCTCACATCAGCTCTTGTGCTTGCTGGTTGAGCAAGTCCCTCTTCCTCAGGGCTGGGCTGCCACGCCAGTGACTTACGTCCTGC